ATCTAACGCTTCTTTGTATTCATTAGGAGGACAGGCTGGACAATTTTCCTTTAATTTGTTTTCAGCTTCAATTGATTCAAGAAGTTCACTCGTATTGTTATAACGCTTGTCAGCTTCAATAACGGCTTCTTGGGAATCATGATCATCATACGAGGTAGGAAGACCATAAATTCCGATTCCAAATAATGACATACAATCAGTACCAATACTAAATTGATAACTGTTATTTTCAGGAGCAAGATTCATAACCTCAAAGACACGTTTTATAGTTTTATTATTACAACCAACGCTTAATTCACAAGTACCAATCCTTTTTACAAAAGTATTCTTATCCGCAGACCGAATGAAGTAATTATAAAAATTATGCTTATTTAATTGGTCTTTACTAACATGATTTATAAACTTTATTTTAATATTATTTTTTCTACAGAACTCATAGTCCACCGAACTAAAATTTGCGCCGCAATCAAATAAGGAGAACGTTCTAATAGAATTATCGATAGTAATAGGAAAGGTAATAGTATCAGTATCAATGTTTTTAAAATCTCTTGTTACATCTTTTATATTTGCAGACTTACAATCAAGAGCTAAACGCGCCATTGACACATTATGGTCCATATTCTCATCTTCATCAACAGACGAGGAAGGCTCACCACCTCTCATTGCCATTCTTGACACCTTATTCCTTTGAGCTTGCTTAAACTCTTCACAGCGGTGACCATAGAACCAGGTCTTACCACAAAAGGAACAAGGTTTCTTACCAGAAGAGGACGAGGTAAAAGGTCTCTTAGGGCCCTCACAAGCAACAAAATTATTTTTTTAAAGATCCCGATTAAGGACTTTTTTTTTTTTTTTTTTTTTTTTTTTTTTGTGAAAGGTTACTTCAGACTTCCAAAAGAGAGCTTTTTCCAAAATCCATGACGTTGCTTTTTAATGACCCTTTTTGAACGATTAAAAAATAAAGTTCAATCAAAATGCTATCCTATCTGTTATTATTTTTCTCGGACTTTTTTTTTCGCCCTTTTTCCTACATACTTTTTATTTTTAGAAAAACCAAAATGAACCCATCCCAAATTGTTACTGTAATTTCTGAATTGCAACAAGTTTTATTTAGACTCGACGAAGAAGCTGAGAGTATGGACGACGATATCCAAATGATTATGGAATCAGACAATACTGCACTTTACCGACAACAACGTCTCCAGTACAGTTTTATTGCAAACGATTACCGCAACCAATACGGTGTTGCAATTACCAGTTTGCCAATGTTTTTTTCGGGTGAATATGTTGAAAGAACGAGAACAGTTATCGACGCCGACGGTAGAAGGGAAACTCGTAGATATCACTTCTGGAGTTTGGAACACCCCTTCCTCAATGACGATGACGAAAATCAAGTAAATAGTTATCGTGCAACTTACCGAATGGGCAAAGACGCTTTTGAGAATTTGGTGAATGAATTGTCCAACCACGAAGAGTTTAATTTTGTTGCTCCCAATGCTATTCCTGTCTACATTCAGGTCGCAACGGCCTTATTTCGCTTGGCTAATTGCCATGTCGGATACCGTCAAGCGTACATGCTTTTAGGTGTTTCCTATGGTAGTTATAATAACTTCACCAGAAGGACACTTAAGGCAATCAAGGGAAGGCTTGGTCACTTGTTGGCTTGGCCTACTGATCCTGAAGCGGCTAGAGCTGTAGCTCACGGTTTTGGGAGTGATAATGGACAGCGACTAAACGGTGTTATCGGTGCTGTAGATGGAAAAAACTTTACGATCCACAAGCCTTCCCCAGACGAATTTGGTGCTATGTTTCGTGATCGTAAGAATGACTACTCTGTTAAGTTAACGGCTGTTTGTGACTCTAACATGAGATTCACATATATCTCGGTAGGCGACTCAGGTACCGTAACTATGGATTAACGGATTTAAAATCAAAACTAAACACAATACTTATTCTTAGGAAGAACTCACGATGCTGCTGCTTTCAGATCCAGTGACATATATTACGATATTCTTGAAAATCCTGAAACGTTCTTTCCAGACAATACGTTTATCATCGGTGACTCTGCGTACCCTTTGGGGCCTAATCTCATCACGCCATTTCCTGAAAGTCAATGCATAACGGATTCAAGAAAACGTACGTTTAATTTCGTTCATTCTGCGACAAGAATGGCGATTGAAAAAGCATTCGGTGTCTTGGTTGCTCGTTGGAGATTCGCTAGCAAGTACATTTATGTCTACGATCAAATGGATGTAAACGAAATTATTACGGCGTGCTGTATACTACACAACTTTTGCATTGATCTTCGAGACCCTGGATTTACAGACGATAGTCCGATGGAAGGTCGTGGTGCTGCCAATGTAGAAAATGAATCGTCTCAAAATGTAAATGGAAGTACTAGAAGAGTAAATGTATTTAATGAATTGATGACACATAGAACTGAAGGTGTTAGAAACTTTACTGGATAAGTAGAAAAAAAAATTTATAAAAAAAAAAACTTAATTGTTATTAACTGAAGGATCAGCGGCAGGAGGGGAATTGTTAGGAGGGGGAGGGGGAGAAGAAGCAGACGTGGGAGAAGGGGTGGAAGTGGGAGAAGGAACGGAAGTGGGCGAAGGAGCAGGCGTTGGAGAAGGAGCGGGACGAGGGAGAGAAGAAGCAAACAAATCCACCATGCGGTTTATGGCCAAGCTTGCATCTCTTTGCCATCCAGAATTTTGACGTCTCAAAACCATTGTCTCACGCAAGATATCCCGGTCAAAGACATCTCTATCAATGGTATGGGCATACACACGGTCCATATGTGCCACATCGACAGCCCTACGCTCGTTGGCAATTTCACGGTCTCGTGCTCTTTCCTCTCGGTTTTGGTCTTCCAAAGCCTCCAAATGACCAGCCATGAACCATGTTGAGGCATTGACATAACGAGGACGTTGGGTAGGTCTTCTACCTTCTTCTTCTTGATCATCATCATCATCAACACCGGCACGACCTCGTCTTCCAGCAGGAAAATTACCTCCACCAAGGCTATAATGTTTCGCCTGATTCGTCCATTTGGACGAATTTTTAGTAAGTGTTTACCCACTTACCCAAAAAAAACGAATTGGGTAAATTTACCCATTTACTCGTTTGGACGAATTTTTTAGTAAGTGTTTACCCATTTACTCAAAAAAAACGAATTGGGTAAATTTACCCATTTACTCGTTTGGACGAATTTTTTAGTAAGTGTTTACCCATTTACCCAAAAAAAAACGAATTGGGTAAATTTACCCATTTACTCGTTTAGACGAATTTATAGTAAGCGTTTACCCATTTACCCAAAAAATAATAAATAAAAACAAAAAAAAAAACCTCTCCCTTTCAGCCTTCAGCCAAATGAAAAACTTTCGTTTATATATATTGAATCATTTAATACATTCATTCGTTTGAAAAAATTGGTTTGCAGTTTTAAAAGTTGATTATATATTTTATTTAAAAGAATGAAATTAAGATTTATTTATATCTTGATACTTAAGGACAAATTGCTATATAGAAGGATTACTACTTAAATGAGCTAAAAAGTAAACGGTACATGGCATAACATGAAGGCATTGATTATTTTGTATAGGAAGCAACGTATAATCTAAAAACAAGGGGGATAACCAAAGTTTTCTAAATGAATATTAGGTTAGTTTATGATAAGAAGACTCAAAATTGATACGCACTAATTCCTTTTCTAAAGAGAGTAGCCGCCACAACGGTAAAAACAGGAAGCATAAGTCTGAAGAGATAATTAGAGAAATGAAAAGCCATAAACGAAAAACACTTACTTATAGCACTGGCGTAGTACATTGTAAGCACGGCCTTTATACACCTGTCTATGCTGATTTAAAAGAGAGATAAGTAAAGGGATGGACTTCAGAGATGGAATGGTGAGTTCACCAGAGTGTAATTGCAAAAGAAGTAAGCCCAGACGTTTATTCAGTTACATGGTTACGAGAAACAAGAACGAATAAAAGTAATTTTTTTTTTAAAAAAAAACTGATTTATTGAGGTAAAAAGAAAAAAAATAGATATTAAAAAAGAAAAAAGGAAAAAGGAAAATGAAAAAGAAAAGGAAAAAGGAAAATGAAAAAGAAAAGGAAAAAAAAAAAGACTCCGTTTATATGTACTTTTTAGAGGTTGGTGTTACGACGGAGGGATGACTGGAGGCAGATAATTTTTTTTGTATACGCGGCTTCTTGACAACAGGACACTATGACAAATACTCGTCTGCTTCAGGTAAATGGAATGAATGAGTAATTTTAAGTTGATCTCAATTTTTATTCACCCAATCTGGGTAAGTATCCGCCCATAGACGAATGCTCGTCTGCTGCAGGTAAATGAAACGAGTAAAGTAATTTTTATTTACCCAATGTGAGTAAGTACTCGCTCATAGACGAATACTCGTCTGCTGCAGGTAAATGGAATGAGTAAAGTAATTTTTATTTACCCAATGTGAGTAAGTACTCGCCCGTAGACGAATGCTCGTCTGCTGCAGGTAAATGGAACGGATGAAATAACTTTTATTTACTCAATGTGAGTAAGTACTCGCCCGTAGACGAATGCTCGTCTGCTGCAGGTAAATGGAACGGATGAAATAACTTTTATTTACTCAATGTGAGTAAGTACTCGCTCATAGACAAATACTCGTCTGCTGCAGGTAAATGAAATGAGTAAAGTAATTTTTATTTACCCAATGTGAGTAAGTACTCGCTCATAGACGAATACTCGTCTGCTGCAGGTAAATGGAACGAATAAAAAAGCTTAAATTTTTGTGCAACCTTTATATTTTACTCAAAATGAACGAACAGTTACCCCTGGACGAATATTTACCCTTTTTGAGTAAATGAAGTAATTTTATTTTTTGTGTACCATTGTTTATTTACCCAAAATGAGCGGATACTCGCTCACGGACGACTATTCGCTCAGATTTGAACGAATGCTTACCCCCAGACGACTATTCGCCCATTCGTCCGCATTTACTCTGTTAAAGTAAGTTTTTTTAGCCTAGGTGCTCGGCTATCCACAGTTTCTCCTGAATGGGAACTGTACGAAACAGGTGGATTCATCGTTGGCATTCTTGATGTTACCTGCTCCATCAAATCGTGAAATTCCCAATAAGGAAGAGGAGCACTTCCAGTAGCATTGGCAGCATCTCTTCTGGTTCGATATGTACTGCAAAGGCTGTTCCACCTGGTCTTCATAGCTGCAATGTCTCTTCTACCGTTGATGGCGCCATTGGCATTGAAAGCATCCTCTGTTGCTTTGGTCAGACTTAACTTTGCTTGAGGTGTACGAGTAACACCGACTTTTACAATGTACTCAGGGAACAACTCGATCAAAACATGTGTGCTCGCAGAATCCCAATTGAGATTGGTGTTGACCTGAGGAGAAGGCTCATCAACAGGATTATTCTCAGCAGAAGGAGCAGAAGATGAAGGCTCAGAAGAACCGGCTGAACTAGGTCCAGAAGAAGCGGATGGCATTGATCCAGTTGCAGGAACGGATCCAGCGGCTGCAGAAGACTGGGCAGTGGGAACAGATCCATTAGTAGGAACAGGTCCAGAAGAAGAAGTGGTTTCAGCAGAGGGTTCGTTTGCAGATCCAGATGGTACAGCAGAAGGACCAGCAGAAGGACCAACAGAAGGACCAACAGAAGGACCAACAGAAGGACCAACAGAAGGACCAACAGAAGGACCAACAGAAGGCTCGGTAGAAGGCTCAGTTGAAGGAGCAGGAGCAGGAGCAGCAGCAGGAGCAGGAGCAGGTACGTTTACTCTAGGTCTTCCTCTTACAGCAGGAGTGGTAGGGTTGTAGCCATTGACGAAGTTGATGCTGGTGTAGTTATGGAAAGTCATTTTGTTTTTTTTTAGATAAAATTGGATAATGGAATTGGTGAAGAAAAATGAAGAGGATCACAAAAAAAAAACCTTTTATCAAAAAAAAAACAACAATAAAAACAAAAACATTTGTGAGTTCAGTAGCCCAATTTGGCTGATTTTTCATCTGATAGAAGGATTCTGGGGTCGTTGGATTTTAATCCTTTATTGGGATATTTCGAAAATTTTGGCACTGAAGAAAATCCGATGTTATTGCTAATCGTCTATATATATCCATTTAATTTTTTATTCATCTATTTGGCAAAATTGTAACCTTTCACAAAAAAAAAAAAAAAAAAAAAAAAAAAATAATAAAGTCCTTAATCGGGATCTTTAAAAAAATAATTTTGTTGCTTGTGAGGGCCCTTAGATCCCGAAGAATCTTTATTAGAGCCGAAGTGGCTGGAACTGCGTTTCTTGTTGAAACGCTCATTGTCCTTATTGCCATACGTAGACGAGGAGGAACCAACCACAGAGTAGCTACCAGAGGAGCCGGAAGAAAGGTAATCGGAGTCAGAGGCAACAACCAATTGGATCATGTCCTCCAGTTTACAAGGTAATTTCGTACCATACTGAGAGGAAATAGCACCAGACGTTTTCTCCCTCACTTGCTCTCTCAAAGAACAGTAGAACATCAGTACCAGTTGGACACCATCCTTCATATCCGCTTGTCGACGTAATTTTTGAAAACGAGCACCATATGCACGACAAGATTCATTTGGGGCTTGACGCAAACGATTGACATTAATCTTCAATAAGAACTTTCGGTAAGGGGTATCAAAATGATCAAGGATCATTGTTTCAGCTTGCTTCCAGGTGAGATCCTTGTTGTCCAGATTTTCGAGAAACCAGCTGCGATCATCCTTGTTAAGACTCATGGGTAGGAGTCGTTCCCAGTGAGCGTTCAAATCTAAAGCATGGGCCTTAAGAACAATACGAAACTGATCACAGAAGTCGTACACAGAGTCAAAAGACTCAGAGTTGGGTCTCTCCAATGGTGTAGATGTCAATTGCAGAAAAGGGAGATCCTTGGGGACACGAGAGGCATTCTTGTCATCTTGGACCTTGGTTGGAGACTTGATTCTTTGATATGCTGTCAAAGCATTCTTGGCATCCGTGTAAGAATTCAAGACCGAAAGATAATCCTGGTAGGAGGCCTTGGTGTCAGGACTGGCCTCATCCAAAAGTTGGTTTGACAGGTAAGCAGCATATGCTTGATTGCATTTTTCTTCTAACTTGACCAGGTTGTCATTGGCAGACTTTAGGATGGCCTTAGGGTCCAGAGCAACAGGAGCAGGTGCAGCAGGAGCAGTATCCTGATGAGGAGTACTATCAGTGTCTTCCTCCATGGGTTCAGGGTTCACCATAGGATTGGCATTCTCAGAGAAAGAGAGAGGAGAAGAACCAGCGAAAGAAGGAAGAGGAGAACCAGCAGAGTTGTTTGACATGTGTTGTGTTTAGAGGTAAGTAAAAATTATAAGGCAGTTTATGAATAATTTGAGACTGTTTATAAGATTGTCTTTATTATGAAATAAAATGAGCAAGTATTTATATAAAAAAGACTATCTGCTGTACCACTATCTTTAGTGTATCTTTGAAGTTGTTATCATTTTCCCAGTGTGTATCCTGTTACCTTTAACTGCTTATTTTGTAAATATGTTACACTTGGAATTACTGTCATCTTAGACACATTGTACTTCCATATCTTTAGTAAGCCTTTGTCACTGTGTTCTTGTAACCTTGTGATATGATAGTACTAACTATCTATATTGGGTAATTGATTCCTTAATCATTCTTAATGTATTGATGTCATAGATATGGATTTATTTAATGTAGCAACAATATAGCAGATCACCACAACATGTTTGCAAAATTCAAAGTAAAAAATGTGATAGTTGAGGATAGAGATAGATAAAGAAAAACAATAAAATACTTTGAGACTGCTTATAAGTTTTATTCAGTAAAAGTAGATTCAAAGATTCCGAGGGTTCTATTCTAACTATCAGTTTGCATATTTATATATGTTAAGAGAAATCGGATTATGAATTTAGTTTGATAGATAAGTTACACGGCACTAAAATAGTGCTTGTAGTTGGATATGATATAATGTATAAGAAATTAGTTCGTGTTGTGATGTAATAACGTATGGGGTGATGAAGTGAGATTTAATTTTAATATTGTTTTATGGTGTGATTAGTAACAACAGTAGGTGGATCACCACAGGTACGACACACTCTTTGCATCGTAATCTTTCTTGATGTTGGAAGGGAAAACTAAGTGAAGAAAATCTAATATAATTGTGATAGTGGCAATACGGCTACGGTACGTATCAGGTACGTCTGTATAACGGATAATAAGCTTATATTGCACTTCCATGTCCTCATAATAATTAGTGAAATGGAATTTGCGGGAATCTCTGATCATTTTTAAATTATCGCCTGACAATTTGGAAAGCTCCTCGTCAAAATCCACAAAGAGTGTATCCAATATATGAGCACGCGTAATTGTTACTGCTTTATTCAACATCTTTTGGCGGTAGTATCTCTGATTACGAAGCTGAGTTGCTGTCATAGAATCTGAATCTTGATTCGCCAACGTTTTTTCGATTTTCTTCTTTTCGTAATATCTGAGGTTGGCATTACGACGTCTACCTTTGTAGCAACGCCCCTTGATGGTTTCTACCTGCGTCCTATGTTGTTTAGCCAAATGTTTGTTAAGATTAGCTTTGTTGCTGAAAGTAACGGGACAATCAGGGCATTTAAGCTGCCCAGGATCAAAGTCGTCTTGATGCATTTTTATCGCCAAACGAGACTTTAATTCCTCGGTTTTTGCTGCACTTTTTGCCACAGCGACCTTATCTCTTTCACGTTTTTCAGGAGTTCTCTTGTCTACTCTTGGGGGTAAATAAAAAAACGTTTGGGCTGATAGAGCTGATGTTATCGGACATAGTTAAAAATATGATGTAAGTATCAATGATTAATAAAGTTAAAAAGCGAAGAAGGTTCATTCATTACCGGGATCGCTTCTTTGTAATTACTGCGGATGCTTAATTAGGTGACTATTGAAAGATCTCGAAATGGACGCCATCAGTACAATTATAATTGTACTGGGATTTAATGTCCTATGAATATTGATGAGTGAAGATTATGCATATCAAGTCTTTATACGTCCTGAATACGATTGATGAAAAAGAAATCGGGATAAACGTTTTTAACCTGTCGAATACATGTTGTGTTTTAAGGTAAGGTTTTAAATTATAAAAAGACTATAGAAGTAGTTTGAGACTGTTTATAAGATTGTCCTTTATTAATAAATGAAATATACGAGTATTTATATAAAAGACTGTCTGCTGTGTTCATATCTCTAGTGCTATCTTGAAGTTATCATTGATTAACCAAAAATGTATACGATTATTACATAGTCACTAATTTAGTCTTGTTCTAATAAATGTTAAGTCTTCTTAACTCTCTTTGCTTTAAACTAAATTTTAAGTATTTCTCAGACGTACTAAATTAGACTTGTGATGTAATATCCTTATAGTTCTTACTATGACATTTATTGTTAAGCTTATATCACAAATGGTATCAGCATGGATAAACCTTTGTTAGCTCTAATATGGCTATAGCCTTGCTAGGTCACCACAATACAAATTAACATTGTAATGTCATACTATTAACACCAACAAGAAAAAAATGATCACATTGGTGATTTCATTCTGTAGCTCTAGCCCAATTGTGAAAACGGCTATAAGAGTGCATTGAAATTTTTATTTGTCATCAGATACAGCTATGATAAAAGCATCTTCCGGGATACCAATTGTTCTTTCTTTATGTTTTGGGAACTGGCCCCATTTGTTCCAGTACGTCTTGAACATCTCCAAGTACTTGGAATGCTTTCGGTAGCAATCCACTACAACCGGCCAGTTTTTACACGTATGTTTCATCTTAAGACTAATCCAGTGACAGTTTTTGACGTTTTGCAAAACGAGAGGAGAGGGAGGCTTAATGCTGGTGTTTTTTGGAAGAGCAAGCGGGAGGAAAGTCAAAGCTTCGTTATCTCCACAAAGAAAAACCACCACTGGAATCCCATACGCATCGGCCACAACTTGGACATACTCAGGAGTGGTAAATCAGTCTTCATATTCAGCATCGCCATCACCATCCACCCAGTTGGTACCGCTCGTGATCAACCTCTCCAGATCACGTTCTTTATCAAAGTCCAACAAGGACCAGTAGCTTTCCTTATTGGCATGAAAGGCCTTCAGCATTTTTTCTTTGACAACAGTAAAGTTGTCCTGGTTGCCTTCGAAAAAATTAGCTGCAGCTCTCCATCCACACCATCCGTCTCCCTTTGGATTAAATATATCCAATAAATGTTCTTTTTGTACATCATTATGCAAATCGGCTTTAAGCTCACCGATACTACATTCAGCTATTTTACGAGCCTTCGTAGGAGGCAAGTACAAAGATTTTTTATCAGATTTAAAATCTGTTGACGTGCGAGACTTTTTAGGAGGCAAGTACAGACCTATAATAAAAACAGAGTTGATAAGGTTATTAACAAATAAAGCTACATGTATGTAATTAATCTTATAGCGGAATCTGCCTTTCTCTTCCCAAATCTTTCAACCTTCAAACCTTCAGTGCTCTTTTCTGCTTTCGAAAAAATATACTACGAAAATACAGACTTGTTAATTTTACAAAATACTAAATTAATTTACTGACACTTCTTACCTTTGCCGTCATAATTTTGGAAGCTCTTTGATTACTTCTTGAGACGGCAAAGTCTTTTCTCATACTCGAAAGCCGGAACAAATTCTTCTTTCTTATAGTTGTTCTAACTTTCTTAGACAAAGGAAGGGACATTTCCTTGACATATATGTCGTCCCCACTTGTTATGTCCTCCAACTCGGCAGTTGTTCTTCTAACCAAGTCAGAAAGCTTCTCCACCTGCTGGTCGGTGCAGCAATCTCTAAACTTGCTTTCAAGTTTTTTGAGAAGCACCATCCATTCCAAAGGTGCTTCTTCTTCTTCAGATTCACCATCCAAACATCCGGCGTCTACTGCATTCTTGGAAGGTATAATCCAACGTTTGTCAAACATGCTTGGAATGAGAGTACCATTTTTCAGACACTCCTTGATAGCGTGAGGGCAAGGTAGGCCGAAAAAACGTTTTGTGGTACAAGCACAGGTCAAACTGAGATCGGAAATCTCCAAAGCGTTCAATGATTCATGGACCGTTAAAAGAGCCCTCTTAAACACTTTTCCTTGTATGTTGGAAAGGTGTTTGTTCTCTTGCATCAAAATATCAACCTTGAATTTTTCCAAGTTCTCCAAACATTCAAGGTTTTCGAGTTGTGACACGAGGTAATTGTCAAGCAACTCAAACGACTTTTCAATGGATTGAAGCCCGACAAATCCATCTTTTAAGGCTCTATGCCCACTTTCGACTCTCTGAGTGGATACACATCCAAAATGCTGGTAATTTCTTGTGGCATGTCCAGCCCACTTCTTGGTAATCTCACCAAGCCAATGGCTGGTAAAGTAAATCCAACCAGACCCTTCTTTGCCTTCCAAACAGAGAGCTTTGTTCTTGGTTGTTTGTTCGAACATATTCAAGATTTGGTTGAACTCTTCAACCGAGGTAGACCTTTGCATTTTTACAACCAAATCAATGCACTTTTTCTTTGTCTCACTAGACCGGAAGGTGTTGGACAAGGCTTTGTCTACACTCTGATACATATGCCATACACAAAGCATATGCTTGTTTTCCGGGAATACTTTATCTAAACCAACTAGTATACCTGTTCCTTTGTCGGTAAGGAACGTAGTGGCGATGGATTGCTTTCCAAGTACTTCTTTCAATGTGTTGAAAAACCACTGGTACGTTTTTTCGGTTTCATTAGAAACAAACGCCATTGCAACAGGAAAGTTCTTCAAACTCCCCCCCCCCTACGCTACTGACACCTTGTACACAGATCAGAGGCATTTTCAGGTTGTTCATGCTATAGGTAGCATCGACAATAAAAACGTCGCTGCAGACATTAGCTCTATCTAACATGCCATTTTTTTTTTGTGAAAAATACGGAGCTAAGTCTGTTTGTTCCAACATCGAATTCATATCTGGTAAGATATCCAGCACTTTCGATTTTTTTAATCAAATCATAGCCGGCGTTGTCTACGTTCAAATTGATTGGCTTTGTCTTCCCAAACCAATTGCTGGCATCTTGATAGGTAACTTTAGGGATATTGCTCCCTTCAAAAAGAACTGTCTTTCTTATTTGTTTCATGGGGATGTTAGCATTTACCATAGCGTTTACTACCACCAAGTCATTTTCAGTAATCAAAGTCTTCTTAAACTCTGGAGTGATTTCCATTGATTTAAAGTCTAAAGGGTGGTTATGCACCAAATTTCCAGGATCATCAGCGTTTACGATCTTGTATCCCCCAGCTTTATTGGTGAAGGATGCTTTGACAATGTAAGGGCAGTTTGTTTTGAAGGTAGCATGCAATCTTTTGGAGTCTGCCCCGAGAGTTCGCTTATCTGGAGCCCCAGAGTACTTACAAGCAACATGAACTCTTTTATGTGTATGGTTGAATTCTTTTTTCTTAATAACAGTAGCGAAGTTATTACGAATACCATACTCCTTAATAACATTTACAACTTCTTCTGCAGTCTTGTATCCATTGGTAGGAAATACAGGAAGAGGTTCCTGGACAGTGTAGGTCGTGTCATTCAAATCAAACACGTTTTGATTGTCTGTGTTCATTTCTATATCTGATAATATCCGTATTAATATGGGCTTTTTTTTCGTATAAAGCTTCACATAAATACACGTAAAACTTACAAATTATACAAATTTCGTCAATGTTTATTTTATGGATTTGGAAAAGGATTTTTTTTTATAACTGGGTGTGGAAACAGTAGTACCACACCAGTATATTTCATATTCCGCTGCCAGAGTTGGGAGCCGGGTGTGGATATCCCAAAAAGGCAACTTTACGAGTGTGGAATAAGTTTTTTGATATATAAATATGTAGACTTGTAACCGAGTGCCAAATTTTCTTTATTTCATCCCTTTCCATTTTTTCCTCTTAATATATTAAATGTCTGACGAAGTAAATACCTTGCAACAGAACCAAACCAATCAAGGTGCCAGGAAAAGAAGGACGGAATATTAGTCAATCAGTAATAACTTTAGAAAAGAAATAATAAAGTATTGGGATGACAATCGTGGTGTCAAAACAGCTACAGAGATGGCATCTCATTTGAGAATTTCAAGGGCTACTTTTGACACGATCGTTAAAATTTATGAGAACACCGGTAGGACAGAGGCATTGCGTAGGGGCGGCCGTCAGCATGTAATAATTACGGATGAGCATCTTTAAAGTATCCAATACATGGTAGACGCTGTAGTAGAAATAGACGTTAAGAGAGAATAGTTTTACAGAAAAAAATAGAAAAAAAAGCAAAGAAAATACAATTATAAGTCATGCCGATTTATTTGTATAAAAATTGATTAAGAGCTAACTAGACGGGCAGGTTCGCCCTGATATTTATAGAAGATTGAAAATATTGTGGCTTGTATTTTTGACAGCTCAGATCCATCGTAGTTTTATATGATGGACCATTCATTTGGTTTATTGAAGATCGTAAGATAGCTGTCTTTGATTTATTATTGTTCCTTAAATTCTCTGATCTCTCATTGGTCGGAGCCTAGATTTGTGTTGTAATGAAGAAATATTCATGAAGCCGGGTTACTTATTCCCGATTTTTTATCCGTGAAACATCTTTCCTTTTGTAGACAGTAGCATTTATTATGTGGTTTTAGCACAGACGTTAATCCATCGGTGACATTAGAAAAGATACAGAGCCGTCTCCAAAGACAATTCAATATGGAACGAACACACTCTATTTCTGGAATAGACTACGCTCTTAAAAATTGTATTCAGTACACCTTGAAAAAAATTACACAAGTACCCCATACGACGTAATGATGCCGATATCAAAGATGCAAGATTTGAATTCGGTAATAAATTGATGGTGGAAGGAATAAGTTACAATCATAATTGTATCTTTGTTGATGAAAGTGGCTTCAATCTTTGGATTACAAGAGGAAACGCTAGATCTAAGAAAGGATCCCCAGCATTTCAAGTTGTTAGTAGTCAACGCAAAAGAAAGATCTCTCCAATTGCTGCAATGTCTATTCATGGTGTAGAATCGTGCGCTACAAACAATACGGCTCATGGGACTAACGGAGAAGTGTTTGCCGAGTATATGAAACAATTATGTCAATACTTGGATAGAAACGACGCGCCAGATCAAACAATTATCATGGATAACTGTGCAATTCATAAGTCATAAATTGTAAAGGATCTTTTGGCTCAGTTTCCTAGACATAAGGTTGTCTACTTGCCTGCTTGGAGTCCGTTCCTGAATCCCATTGAAGAGCTTTTTTCAAAATTGAAATACCACGTCAAAAGAGAATATTTGGATGAAACAAGGACCCTCCTAGAAAAAATGGAAGAAGACTTAAGAAATATTAGTGCTTTCGACTGCCAAGGCTGGTTATCTCACTCAATGTCCTATTTTCCTAGATGTCTTGCAAAGGAGGACATGCTATAGTTCTTTTTTTTTCTTTTTCTTTCTTTGATTTAAAAAATAGACTTTATTTCCCGAAATTGATTATGTGGTGACCTAGCAAGGCTATAGCCATATTAGAGCTAACAAAGGTTTATCCATGCTGATACCATTTGTAATATAAGCTTAACAATAAATGTCATAGTAAGAACTATAAGGATATTACATCACAAGTCTAATTTAGTACGTCTGAGAAATACTTAAAATTTAGCTTAAAGTAAAGAGAGTTAAGAAGACTTAACATTTATTAAAACAAGACTAAATTAGTGACTATGTAATAATCGTATAGATTTTTGGTTAATCAATGATAACTTCAAGATAGCACTAGAGATATGAACACAGCAGACAGTCTTTTATATAAATACTCGTACATTTCATTTATTAATAAAGGATAATATTATAAACAGTCTCAAACTACTCCTATAGTTTTTTTATAATTTTACTTTACCTTAAAACACAACAGATTACAATAAATGACAAAATTGACGTGTGTCTGTGATGAAATTGAGCCCACCCTTGCGACGAATTTGTTTGCCGGAGGTGACGAAAAAAAAAATATTTTTGACGGGATTGGACTATAAATATTGTATGCTTCAGTTCCTCTTTTACTCCTCTTTTACTACTCATTTACTTATAAATCTCTCTATAAACTACCTTTACAATGCCCAAAGTATCAACCAGACAACAAACCTCAATAGAAATGAAAACTTTGCATAAGCACAGTGTCATCATTGAAGACGATAAACAAGCCGATGAGATGCACGAATTATTGAGCGCATTAGAAACGAAACGCGTTTTGAACAGTGGAGCAGGCATCCCAAAACTTAACCAGTCACCCTAAAATAAATCAGCGATCAAAAATTGAAAAATATCGCAAACAAAATAGAGCGGAAATAACGATCTTTTTTTTAAAAATATCGCGATTGGCGATATCGATAAAATTTTCTAAAATATCGTTACTGGCAATATCGATCATATTTTCCAAAATATCGTGATTGACGATATCGATCCATAAATCAAAAAACAAAAAAATTGTCGTATTTGGGTACGATTCACTTAAGAATAATTAAGCAAATCGTTCAAATAAATAAACTATGAAATTTAAACAACCTTTGATGTTGCATATCAGCATACGCTTGTATACTGCTATACAACTTCTCCTACTTCGAGTACATACTTCTATATAAAAGATTGCATGATTGGCCTAAATACGATGTACGAATGACAGTTGGATACAGAATGCTATACCACTGAGTTACGATAACACCGATCGAGAAGAGAAACTTCTCTGATCAATCAAGAATTATAAGAAAGAGAAACTTAATATTAACGAGGCTTTTTCAAACCAAACCTCCGTTTCGGTAAAAATTTTGACCTTCGCTGCGCTGCGGTAAATTTTTGACCTGCACTATGGTTCGGTACGCTGCGCTTTGAAAAAGCCTCGTGCTGCCGCAGGCCTGTTTTTGAAATCAAAAACTTAACATATATTAATTAACTATGAAGCCCACGCGCCATTATAGCTTAAGCTACACTGCTGGTTATCAGTTTGACACTGGAGAAAACGTTGATGTTTCTCATTACATGTTTAAATAAAAGACGATATCCCTAGACCCAGGTTAGAAAGTTGATGTACGCAAAGATTATTAATTGTTTATATATCTGATTAACTATTTAATGGGCAATGTTTTTGCTTCATAATGAAAGACTTCATAATCCAAAATATTAATTTCAAAGGTGACCCCTCCATCGACCTAAAACAAACAATTTTTCAGTTCTTCTCGAATAATAACATATTGTTTGTGAAAACGTGTTCATAGACTGTTTTTCTAACCTCGATAATATAATGTTTAATGCTATTGGCTGCTATACTGGGGGAAAGGGTAACCTTTGCCACAAAATCTCCATAGTTACTTTTTTTTGAATGACTTTTTCAGTAAAAGTCACTTTTATATTATGACTATCTCCAAAATAGTCAATTTTTATATACGCTCTTTTTTTCAGTTTAATGCTTAATGTTATGGGTCGTATTCTTCGAAGGAGGGTTTTTCCCAGCCTCTAATTTTGTACCTCTGCTAAAAAATATTACGAAGTAAAAAAAAATAACGCTTTAAAAACATAGGGCTGTAAAAAAATTCACGGTATTAAAAAAAATTATACTTTAAGATATTATGATGTAGAAAAAAAAAAGGAACATTGTTTTTCAGAAGGTAACAATTTCATGCTAATACTATGGGCCGTATTTCTGGGTGGAGGGGTTCCCCCTCCCCCCAGACCCCCCTTCCCTCTTGCGGGGGAAACCCCCGCACCGCCAATTTTTTTTTATCACTGCTTAAAAATTACACTGCTAAAAAAAAAAACAAAAAATAATGTTTTATAAGATATAAGCTCTTTCATGCTAATCCTATGGGCCGTATTCTTGGGGGGAGGGGGAACCCCTCCCCCCAAACCCCCCACCCCTCTTGCGGGGGAATCCCCCGCACCCCCATTAAAAATCCTAACTTTTGTGACTGAAAATTAGCTCGCCTTGTGACTGCGTAGTTACGATTCCAGTAATTTTAATATAATAAAATAGTTCTCTCAATGGATTAGCTACCGAGAGAGAGAATAGAACAGCTATTAATATAAATGGTTCATTTACTTCTATATTGATATAGTTATACTGCTGATAAAGAGTATAAAGAAATTGTGTATGAATTAATGGATACCTACAGTGTCAAGCAAAACTGTTACAATGATTTACAATTTTTTGGAAATTACGTTATGAAGGAAACTCCCAGTTAACAGATATAGCTCAAAATATATCCTTAAAACGGCTCGCACTTCAGCTGCAATAACATAGTTTTATTTTATAAATCGGAGTTATAAATGGATAGGTTCTACTATAATCAAAATCAAGCGGTACATTGTAACAGTTTTGCACGGTTGAAAAAAAATGGATTTTTATTTGGAAAGTTGTGTTTAATATTTGGTCCAGTAGCCTTTAGCCTTGATACACTGTTCAATACGTTTTGGCGTGCTTTCAATAACCTTTTGACACTCTTCTTTTGTTATGACGTCATACCAAACTTCGGTTACCCGCTCATATAGCTCTTGCATACCATGTACTGGTGTTTCGTACTCGTTCAATCTAATTTTTAATAATCGCCACATATTTTCGATTGGATTGAGATCAGGTGATTGAGGTGGCAAATCCATAACTTGATAATCTTGCGACTACAGGTATGCTTTGACTAATTTGGAGGTATGCTTAGGGTCATTGTTATGCTGGAAAACAATTTGGCTACGCTTAAAGTTCAACTCCCGGCACAAATAGTTGATGGTTTCATTTTGTTCATCTTCCAAAATGTTTTTATAAAGATGCTTGTCCATGTTCCCATCAATCTTACACAGCCACCCAGTTCCTGCGTATGTAATAGCGCTCCATAACATAATGCTACCACCGCCATGCTTGACGCTCATCTTGACAAGTTGAGGTTTAAGATGGGCACCGTCACGAATCCACGCCCAGACACGACCGTCGGAGTTGAACCGGTTGATTTTCGTCTCGTCGGACCATACCACGCGTTTCCAATCTTCTAAGATCCAATGTCGATGGGCTTGACACCATTCTAATCTCTTCTTGACATTGCGAGCATTGAGTAATGGCTTGCTTGGTTTAGGAATCGCGCCGAGACCACTACCTTTTAGAGCACGTTTGATGGTGTCTACACTAACTGTCCTGCTATGGTCCATTTCGAACTGTTTCTTAACCTTGGAAGCACTATCCACCCGACCTTTAGTCACCAAACGGACACAATAGCGCTTGTCTGCGCCAGTGAGAACTTCAGGTCGTCCCCCTTTTCTCTTCTCCCGATCCGAACAGTGACTTTTTTCCACACGTGACACTGTCGCCGTACTTACACTGACCTGATCAGCCACCTGCCGTATTGTGGAACCATTATTAAGCATGGAAATGATCTTGTTTTTTTGAGACTCTTCAATGGAGCGCATTTTATAATTATTCTATCTGAGTTTCAAAAAATATTATGGAAAAATATAAGAAACTTGAAGTAATATGAAGAATAGTAAAACAAGAACATTTGGAAACTGTGTTAACTAATTTAAAAAATTTTACCGACTTTTGGTGTCCATTTTTTCATAAAAAAATGAACCGTGCAAAACTGTTACAATTGACCGCTGCATTTCAATTATAGCTCCACCTATGTAATTTAAGCTCCGAATTAAAAACAAAAACTATTGGCTTGTAGCTGATAAGCAAGGCTATCGATCGATATAACTTATGCTGCATTTTGTCTTGAAGAAAGGGGCGTAATTGCGTAAATTCCATGAAATTTTAAAACATTGTAACAGTTTTGCTTGACACTGTATCTTCTACAACCAAAAATACAAATAACGATAACACATGTTATATTTGGGATCGTAATTTATCTATTACAAAGATAATGAATAAATAATCAACTATTATGTTCTATTGCCAATTACACTTGAGAAACAAGTATACATTTTTTACAGTAACCGTTGCATAATCTGATAAATAAGTGTCTCATAATACTAAAGATTATTAGAATACGCATGCTCCTGATCCACTGATATGGGACGACGTTAACTGGAAACAATTCTAAAGGGTAGTATTTATTTAACCTAAGACGGGAAACAAAGTATAGATCTATTTCAAAACCAGAAAGGTTGAATCATCATTAAAACTAAGGAGAGTTGTGCAATATAAAAAGGAACAATTATTTCATAGCAGCAGAGGTTTTTTAGTCTATTTTTATTTTGAATAAAGATATAATTTTATCTCAATACTTTTCTATTGTAATAATTTTGTCAAATACCACATTAACGCAAGTTTACTTTGGAATTAATACTTTTAAATTTAAGATTGTGGAAATTTGATCATGTTTTTTCTGTTCTCTTTTTGGTGGTGCCTTTTTTGATATTAGATAAACAATTGAATTTTATACTACTCTAAATATATAACGTTGCTTCAATCAAATAACGTACATATTGAACTGCACACCTTAAAAAATGAGGAGAAAAAGGGTGGTATACAACAGATTTAATTGTAAAAGCCTAAAAAATAGTGATTTAATTTTCCGGCTCTACATCTTGAATGTCTAACACACCATCTACCGGATTCGATTGCCCTATGAATGTCTGATATAAACCGGTGGGTAATATACAAAAGATAGTATTATATGTGGCACAGCTCAGGTGGTATATATATGCTCTTTCTAAACCTGATAATTTTAAGCGAAAGAAAAGCTTATTCAATAAAAAGCAATTTATTTGATGGCTAAAAGCATAAAACTATTTATTTTTAATCCAACAATTGAATCATCTCTGGCTCACCCTATGGTCATCTGAAGATCTAAACTTAGAGAATTGTCCGAAGAGATTCCAAGTTGTCTTAAATAGAGTCTCGTACCAATCATCGATGTTGCAGTACAGGTGAGTTACAAGTGGATATTTCGTCGGTAAGTGACCAAACTTCAAGGCCAACCATTGCTTGTTCTTTATATTCTGCAGCAAATATGGCTGCACTTTAACCTTGGGTCTGACAGGCATACTCATCGGAAGAAACGTCAAAGGATTGTCCAGGCGAGAGCTAACCAGTGGACGATTGCAAACACAAACAGGAATATTATATGCATCAGCAACAACTTGAGCAGAACCTGGGCTTTTAAACCAGATGGCTGATTCTGTTGCATCTTTCAATCCCCTGCTTATCGTAATCTTTACTTCGACGACATTTTGACCAACAACATTTCCGTAATACTCCTTGTTCTTTTCGAGTGCTAACATCATATCCATTATCACCAGTTGGCACTTGTTCTCGTCACCGTAATGCAAAAAGGCTATTGCTCTAAATCTACAATAACCGTCTCCAACGGAATCAAACACGGCTTTGACATTCGGTTTGTCGATTGACAAATGTAACTTTGAGAAGTTTTTATTCTCTTCGTCCAAATCAATCTTTCGCCTCTCCGTTCTCTCAGGCATCCCGACCCACTCATCAGATTTTTTCTTCATGCTCTTCACATCCAAAACTTCTTCACCGTCGTCATTCTCCAATTTGACTTTACGAATTGCAAGGTCAATTGCTGCTTTCTTTACGTGATCCTTTTTCAAAGCACTGGGCCTACCAGGTGATTTAACGTCTTCATTTGAGGGAAGACGTAAAGATAGTTTGTCCACGTATGTTTCATCTTCAATCATAATACTCATCACACTCTCTATCGCCCGTATAAACTGTGAGATACTCTGGGAATTGCCATCGAACGATCTAAACGTTTGTTCGATTTTTGCCATATAGTCATCCCAAGGTTGCTAGATTACTTCTAAGGTTTCAGCTTTAACAGAAAATTCTTAATAATGGATTGAACGTTGCCAGCGTTTAAAGCACCATCTGCTTGGAATGATTTCCAAACGTTGCAAGTCGTGAAAGCAAGGGAGACTGTAATTTAATCGGCATTGACAACTTCATGGACTGAAAATGTCAACCGGTCCTCTCCAAAGTTTGGTACAGAGGGAAACCAACCCACGGTGAGTCACTTTCCCAATTAAATGGGCCAGACGAGGCCCCAACAAAACGCGAACATCCACCTTAGGTTTTTCCCTATTTTCAATGTCCTTATATCCTCTTTCAAAATTGCTCAGATTAATTTCAATGGTGCGGAAAGCTAAATCAAGAGGTTGAAGGGAAAAGACTCCCCTTTTGACAATACTATGTCTACTCTCTGCCCTTTGCGTTGTAACGCAACCAAAGTGTCTAAGCTTTGAGGTGATATGACCTGGCCATCTTTTAGTATATTTCACTCATTTGTTGGTGTAACACTTATTAAACTTTTGCTGAATTTCAGCATTATTAAAAGTTTTTGGTGTTTGAAAGAATTCATCAATATATCGTTTCGAGAAATCGTATCGTTCAGATGTAGAGCAAGTCCTCATAGCAAAAACTTTATTTTTCAATTTGCTGCAGATATTGAATTGTTCAAAAATTTTAGGGTGGCATGGTTGCATAATTTTGAATTTAATGCCAAGTACACAACAGCTTCTTAAGGTCAGGGAAATGATCATCAAGTTGATTCATCAGTGCAATACATTTGGCAATGGCAAAGATCGTCCCTAATGAATAGTGGTGGACGTGTTTTAATGTCTTAACAAACTAATTGTACATCTCCTCCTTTTCCCTAACAACGCATGTAAAAGCAATAGGGAAGGCTTTAAGGGTATCATTCCCCAAGTTACTGACACCGAAAGCTGAATTAAGTGGCATCATTAAATTATTTGTATCGTATGTTGAATCGATAACAACAGCCTCAGAGAATCGCTTAGCTCTCGAGACCAATATAGCATTGGGGAAAAACAATCCATCAAGATTTTAGATATAGGATCACATCTATGCAGTGTTATGTCATTTTTTCCCCATTTGGTGAAAAAGCAATTTAGCTTCATCCTCATACCATAGATTCACACGATCCGTATTTTTGTACCTTAAGTTGTTGATGTCATGAACTGTCAACTTTTTGACGCCACTTTCAGCGCTGATCAATTTTTGGATCACCTTTGTTGGGACTTCCTGCTCGATACCCTTCGGAATCTTTTCAACATTCTCAGAATCGAGCTTGTTCTATCTGTGGAATTTGTCAAAAATAATACACTCGAGAAATAATGAGATAAAAGTATATCTTCATTCGAGGTAACAATAGACTAAAAGAACTCTGCTGTTATGACATAATTGATTTTTTTATATTACACAACTCTCCTGGAATAAATCTATACTTTGTTTCACGCCTTGGGTTAAATAAATACTACTCATTAGAATTGTTTCCAGTTAAAATTGTCCCATATCAGCGAATCGGTAGCTCGAGTATTCTAATAAATCTTTAGTGTTAGAAGACGCCAATTTATCAGATCATGCAACGTGTCGTATTTGGGTGCGATTAACTTAAGAATAATTAAGCAAATTGTTTAAATATATAAACTATGAAATTAAAACAACCTTTGATGTTGAATATCAACATACGCTTGTATACTGCTATACAACTTCTCCTACTTTGAGTACATACTTCTATATTAAAGATTGCATGATTGGCCTAAATACGATATACGAATGACAGTTGAATACAGAATGCTATACCACTGAGTTAAGATATCACCGATTGAGAAGAGAATCTTCTCAGATCCCATCAAGAATTATAAGAAAGAGAAACTTAATATTAATAGTTCTCTCAATGGATTAGCTACCCAGAGAGAGAATAGAACAGCTATTAATATAAATAATTCATTTACTTATATACTGATTGATAAATCGATGTTTATTTAGGAAAAATGACAAGATAACCAGATTGCAAAAATTAACTGAAATTTTATTAACATAAAATTTAGGGGTCCTTTATATACATATTGAATTCGACCTCCTTCATAGACAGGGCTAGATGACAGGCAAGATTATGACTAACACGCCATATCTCAAAAGTATGTAATCCAATGAGAATCATATAATAGAAGGAAGAGTGGTACACGTTTCTGTAATAGGTCTGTAGTGTCACTTGATGCGTACAATTAAAAGTCATCAAAGTACATTCAAAAATTTATCGTGTTTGTACTTTTTAAACCTCGCTTGTCATTGGCCTCCGCTAATCTGACTAGTACAAAATATTAATAACGTCTTTTTATACTAACTGTATAATAAATGTATACTTTTGTACTTGTATTTAGCTTGATGAATATCATGCTAGTTTGTTAAGTCAATTGTGAATATTTAATATGCAACATTAACAGAAATGTTTATAAAATTATCGTAACGGATAAACATATGCTGTGTAGATCAAGTCTACATGAATATATAAGGCTCAATCACAACATTGAAATAATTACACTGCTGATAAAGAGTATAAAGAAAAAGTGTATGAATTAATGGATACCTATCTTCTACAACCAAATATACAAATAACGATAACACGTGTTATATTTGGGATCGTATTATATTCATTACAAAGATAATGAATAAATGATCAACTATCATGTTCTATTGCCAGTTACACTTGACAAACAAGTTTGAATCTTTTACAGTAACCGTTGCATGATCTGATAAATAAGTGTCTCGTAATACTAAAGATTTATTAGCATACTCATGCTCCCGATCGACTGATATGGGACAACGTTAACTGGAAATAATTCTAACGAGTAGTATCCATTTAACCCAAGGCGGGTAACAAAGTATAGATCTATTCCAAAACCAGAAAGGCTGACTCATCATTAAAATTCAGGAGAGTTGTGCAATATAAAAAGGATCAATTATTTCATAGCAGCAGAGTTTTTTGAGTCTATTTTTACCTCCAATAAAAAATATACTTTTATCTCATTACTTTTCCATTTTAACTATTTTGACAAATACCACAGTTGAATGAGTGCAACATGGCACGGTACAACTCATTTCGTTCGGCTAGCGTACGAGTGGACTCTAGTGTTCGGAATGAAGATCGAAACTCTCGAGCGAGCTTCGATCGTGTTCCAGTCGAAGCTCGCTCGGATGCGTTTTTTTGCAGCTCGAGCTCGCTCGAAGTTTCTTAAGCTCGGCTCGGTTGCGAATACGATAGCTCGAACTCGCTCGCCCTTTTTATTACACAAAGTGCACGTCAAAGTGATGTTAATTACAGAAAATTATGATAATAAAATTGTAATTTATTGAAATAGAAGTTGGAAAAAGAAAAAGAAAACTTTTTTTTCACCAGCCTTAACACCAAATTCAAATAATTAAATCAAACTATTACTGCATCTATAATTATAATACATTTGGATTTGTGAACATGAAAGTTTTTATTAATTCTGCTACGTCATGTTACTATGGTTGCTGTAAAAAAATTGGCTTAGTTGGGTATAGTGTGCAACACTGTTTCATTTTCTATGGTAAATGTGTTTGTTGGTTGTACAATTAAATAAAGGCCAAAGCATTTTAATTGGAACTATTAGAGCATAAATAAAAAAAAAAATGATAAAGGGAAGAAAAGATTAAAATCAAGGGGAAATGCCATCTGTAGTCTTTCAAGGACCTTAACTTTAAAGTGACTACTATCGACATTTTAGCCGAGCGAGCATCGATCGAAGCTCGCTCGAACCCAAAAAAAGTGGCGCAAACTCGAGTACAAAAACTCGGTTCGAGCTTCGTTCGAACTGGCGCTAGATCGGTGCAAGTTCGAAAAGTTCGAACACCGATCGTTACCAATCCTTGGGACAACATACAAATATTGTTACTAGCTTGTTTAAGTGTAAAAGCGGCAACGTGAAATAAAGTAAAAGAGTGAGATAAAAGTTCTTAAAAAGTGAGCACCAGACTATACGTTGTCAACTAAGATAAAATAAAATATAAAGATATAAAAGGAAAATGCTACGACGAATCAGTTATCTGTGTCTTCCAAGGAGTATAGTAAAATACAACTGTTAAGACTATTCAGTGCTGATTTATAAGAAGGGCTTTCGTACAATTATAGTAGTTATATATATATATAATGAAACCAGGCTTATATGAATAAGACTAAATCAGATTATAGTAAATAACAAACTCAAGATTTTATTAAATAACTTTATGGTCCTTTTATAAGAAAAGGACCAAAAAGCAGTCAAAAAACATAAGACATCTTAGGTCAAAAAGGACCAACAGAAGAAGAAAATGGTAGTGTAACAATATATAAACCCATAAAAACATTATACTTAAATAAACCATTCAGCTTTTTTATCTATTTTATTCTTATAAACTCTTACCATATCTTGCCTGTCAATACTTATATTTAACATATAAATTGGCTTATTATCTGTCTGTCTCCCTAGAAAATCGAAGCCTAGTCTCTTTTCTCTGTATCTTTATTTCAAATCTTTTTATTCTATTAATCTTTACTGGTTCGTTACCATATATATCTTTCAAGTATTTATATAAAATAACGTGGTGCTCACTTAAGAACTGAAATATAAATCATTATTTATATTCTTGCTCTATCTAAGTCATAACCTCTGCCAATAAAACATCACAATCACTATCCAGATTGTATCACTACTACTCACATTGTTGTCGGGTCTGATATAAGTGTTAAGCTTAGTTATAGATATTTAAGTAGAGTAGTAAAAGAGCTATTGTTTTATTGAAGGATTGATCTGACATATTTATAATTATCTAAAAGCAGTCACGACATTGTTGATACAATGTGAGTGGTAGTGATTGGTTTAGATTTAGTTTGACAGTAAGGTAGAAGGAGAATAATGTACGTTTGTAGTTAATTATTCAGTTCTTAGTGAGCACCACGTTGTTTTATATAAATATATAATAAATATATATGGTAACGATCCAGTTAAGTAAAATAAAATAAAAGGTCTTGATAGACAGATACAGAGAAAAAGAGACTAAGGCTTCGGTTTTTCTAGGGAGACAGTGAGATAATAGGCCAATTATATATAGAAGATATAATATTTGATAGGCAAGTTTATGATAAAAGTATATAGTAAAATCTGAATGTTTATTGAAATATGTTTTGTTTTAAGGTTTATATAATTTTTGAGAAATCAAAGGATCGGTAACGATACCCTTGATTTCGGATAAATGATAATAATAATAAATTTGTCAAAAGGTTTTAAATATAAAAAGGTAAGGATTCAAGTTAGAGAAGTACAATGCTAAAAGTTAGCATGAAAAATATAAATTGTCTGAGTAAAGTTTTTAGTGTTGAAGTCAATTATTACATATTGAAAATCCGCATTGTAACATTGTATCAATATGTCGGAGTACAAACATAAACATATATATATTTCATAATCATACAAAACAATAAAGATCATCTTTTATCTTCTACTCTACTTTTCTATTTCATTACGCACTTATCTAGATCAGACCCCGACATCTGGTAGCACCAGTTTTTTTATTTTTATCAGTATTGAAAGTGAATTACGTATAAATTTATACGTGTGTTATAAGCAAGCAACAGGTTAAACAATCTATGGAATCATACAGTGATTATCAATCGAAATTCGAAATTGAAGAACGTGTGCAGTCAGGATTACCAGTTCAATATCACAAACAATACCAAGAATTAAGAGAAACATCAAGTAGTAGCACTCATACAAGAATACCAACAACCTTCGCAAGAGAAAAGTATTGGTCAAGAATAGCAAATAAAAAAATCGTAGAAATCATAGCAGAATTTTCTAAATCAACAGATAATAACAGTAACCAAGAAAACATGACAGAAGCACATAGTCAAACAGCCATGGGCCAAATAATTGCGGATGCTATACAACAAGGTATCGCTCGTGCATTAGAGCTCAATACTAACAACCAACAAGAAGACAAAGATTTTTACACCAAACCTCTGAAATATAATGGTGATAGAGATCGTTTTAAAATTGACAATTGGATATCATCAGTTGAGGATTATCAATCCTTTCGCGGATGGGATGATGAAAAAACATTTCGTTTCGCAAAGACACTACTGGTGGATATGGCGGCCATATGGTTACGCAATATAAATGACTTGAGTGACCATAAGATATCAACATGGGTTTCCCTTAAATCATCTATCATACAGCAATTTCGTCCTACCAACACCATAATTCAATTACGTGAGCAACTACATTCTTTAACACAAAAAACAACAATTAGTGAATACATCAAAGAGTTTTTAACAATCCGACTTGGTATTCCTCGAATGAGTGATGATGAAGCTGTAGATAAGTTCACGCGTGGATTAAAAAACAAGGATGTCCGTGCACAAATTCGTGGACTATACCGTAACGAATGCCCACCATCTCTGAACGAAGCAATTCAAACAGCACAAATGTTTGAATCTTCTCGAATGGAACATGGTCAATACCAATTACCAGGATTTACTAACAATTCTACTAATAATTCAGACGCAGTTGATGATCCTATGGATCTTTCAGCCATTAGAGATGTGCTCAATTTTGTTCAAAACAATTATACGGGTAATAATCGTGGTCGAGGTGCGTGGCGTGGTAGTCGTGGTAGTCGTGGTAGTCGTGGTGGTCGTGGTGGTCGTGGCGGAGGATATCGAGGTGGTTTCGGAGAAGCTAGAGGAGCTAGAGGTGGTTATGGCAGTTTTCGTGGTAGCTATCGTGGTGGAGCTCGGGGAGGTTACAATAACTCGACTCCACAATATGCAAGTGGAGAAAATCGGGATTGCTGGAATTGTGGACAATTTGGTCATCTCCAGTTCAATTGTCCGCAGCAACAACAACAGGGATCATTTTATATGAATTCAGAATATGATAATTACTACGATGACAATGATTACAATGATACAGAAAATCAGCAACCTATTTCGCAACCAAAAAATAATTCTATCCATCCAAATGATCAGAGAAATAAAATTCCATCAAATTCTTCGTCATCCTATTCTAATTCGTCTTCAATATTGTATAGTGTATTACCCTCTTCATCAGCATATGTTGAACCATTAAGCATAAATCAAAAACTTATTAAACAGGATATCGA